CGCAAAGCATCGAGTACTGCAAGAAAGACGGAGATTTTTCAGAACTAGGAAACATCCCAAGCAAGCAAGACGTCGTCAGGTCGAAAAAAAGGAAATTCGGACCTTGAGGAATTCAAACAATCGGTCAAGGAAGGAGTCACAGACCCAGTAGAACTCCGTGAACTTCACTCCGATATCTGTGCACGAGTTCCTCGGTTCGTCAGAGAGTACATCGACGATCATCGCCCGAAACCAACCATTGAATGTCACCCCCTCAGGAACTGGCAAGCCAGTCTGAACGAATCCTTGAGGCGTACAGCCGACACCCGTGAAATTATCTTCGTCGTTGATAAAACCGGGAATCAAGGTAAGAGTTGGTTTGCTCGGTATTATTGTGAACTACACGACAACGCGCAAATCGTGGTACCTGGAAGGAAAGCCGACATGGCGTACGTGATCAACGAAGAAAGTAAAGTCTTCTTTTTCGATTGTCCCCGAAGTAAACAAGGCGATTTCATTCAGTATGATTTCTTGGAAGAGTTGAAGAATGGTTATATTTTTAGCCCGAAATATGAAAGCAAAATCAAAAGACTCCAATGTCCTCACGTCGTCGTGTTGATGAATGAACACCCCGAAATGACGAAACTCAGCCAAGACCGATACAAGATCATTATCTTAAGTTAGACGACGTGTCGTTTAAACTTGTGTCGTTTGATCTTTGTTAGATGGTATCGTCTCTTCATCTCTTTGATACGCCTAGCATCGAGCTCGCAATAGAACAAAGGCCGCTGAAGACATGCTTCTTCGCAAAGTTCATCCTCGATGATCGGAAACGTGCTAACACGATGCAATACAGGCATCCAGTGAAGCATGCTTCCACGTCTGACGATAGGGATGGAGCTAGCCATAACCCGAACCTTCAACGATGTTGCATTAGACCGGAACACACCATGGCAATGAACAGCCATTTGAGAGTAATGATCGTCCATTTCTCCGAAATCGAAATCCAACGAACATTTTTGTAACGAGAGACTATTACTTCATTATCGGTAAACTTTCCTCCCGAACTCCAACACCCGTCGAACTTCCCTCCGTAATCGCCCGTCGAAAACCCGTCAAACTTCCCTCTGTAATCGCTCGTCGAAAACTTCCCTCCTCCTCGTTCGTCGACCGTCGGTACCTCAATCCTGGAACAATCGAGTCTTGATGGAATCGAAAGGATTTTCCACTCCGTTATTGAAAAGAACACCGTCCACGTAGAGACCAGATCGTGTAGGCCCCACATTACGAAGCCAATGAAGCCCACTCGAGAATTCATGCCCAACCGAAGTCACCTCGAAATTCGGGAGCGCGTCCACGATTTGACTCGGGTATGCGGGAGGACCATACAGCAAGAAACATCCCACCAACCTAGGCCTGTAACCATCGCGCACCGTCTTGTAGACCAATGAAGCCTGAATAATCTCGGCAATAGCCAATAGCTCATTGTAATCATTGGACGAAGGATTCCAACAGGAAAAGACTAGGTGACGGGTGCGCCTCACCTCACGAATCAAAGGTGGTAAAATCATCATCCCAACAAAAAAAACCTTCTTATGGGAAGAAGAGAGACAGACACAACAATCAACCAACAAGAAGAAAAGCACTCAACAATCAACCAACCCAATAAATTTGACACCGACATGTCATAATTTCTAACCAGAAAGATCGAAAATGAAAAAGTACTACTTGCTACCAATAACCCTTCTGTCGATCCTGTCACCCGTCCGAAGTGCGGGAAAAGGAAAAGGTAAAGGGAGATCAAATGCAAATGCATCCAATCACACCAAAGTCGAATGTACATGCCAAGACACTCTGATATGTGACTTCAAGTAACAACGGCCCTCTCCCGTTTAAGACGTAATCCAAAGAAAACCTAACGTCATTAAACATTGCTTACAATAGTACTCTTTTTTTCCGTTCTGTACCACACAAACAAAAAAAACATAAATTGAATCTCTCATTAGTAGTCAAAGGCAATCTCGGCTTAGCTCGTTGCTTAGCTCATTAGTAGTCACAAATGTGCACAATGGGGTTTCGCGTTGACCTGTCCATTATAGATCAATTGGATCCACCCCCTCGTCCAACGATAAAGACAACCAGAGCAGCCTGGTTGACAAGCAAAGTCTTCGACATGCTCTTGAAGAACCCTTCGTTCGCAGATCCAGAGTCCATCGCCTCGAAGATTGAAGAGTTCCAAAATGAGTTTAAAAAGAAACAGAGGAGATACAGGCTCCATCCTCGCATCCTACGAAACCCCGACGCTTACTTTGCAACCGGGTTTTCGTACATCCATCCCACCCGCGGTTGCGTCAGGTACCAAGGCTATTTTGAAGAAGAAGAATTTGCCGGTCTGGTGGAAAGGATGCGCAACCGTCCCGCTGTGTACGAAGGTTTCACCTTGAGGAAACGCCGCCGTATCTCTAGAAGGATTGTTACGGTGTAAAAAAGTCAGACCGGGATCGGGATTCAAATCACTCTGGGATCTGGGATCTGGGATATTACGGGATTCAATCAATCGGGATTCAATCAATCACTTCGGTTACAGATTTTAATCGGGTATCAACCAGGTCTGACCTGTGAAATTATCTACATTAATCTTAAAATACCGGAAATGTTTCTTCAATTCTTCCGTCATCATGGCGAAAACAATATCTTTATCCTTCGTTTGACATAGAATTTCATCATGGATCGTAAGGAACGGAACAGCCGCATCCATCAAGCCTTGCCAAATACCAGTCATGACTTGAACCTCACTGTATTGCAATAACCACGCCAAGTTTGTATGCATGTTATGACCATGCGGGTTCTTTGGTTCGGTACGAGATTTGTAATTGTTAATCCAATCAACCCAGGCCGTATTCCCTTTGAACATCTTACCAATATCAGCCTTCGGTTGACCAGCCAAAGATTAGTTTGAAAAGGTATTTCTTCACGTCCCTGCGCTCCTCTAGATTCGCCATCTTCTGTAAAATGATATAAAACATCATCACCTCTGAATATAGCATCTGAGAATGTGTTAGAACCAAGACTATCCTCAAAGACCTTTGCCAGAATCGTCGGCTGCATCTGTTGAACATCGAGTGATACGACAGGCTGACCATGAAAACGAAGATTGTGTCTTAGAACCCCCTTCAAGTTCACCACCGGACTGTGTATCCGACCAGAGAACACATCAACTGAGAAGAAGGACTCCAGTTGTTTGTGACGGTGTTCGAGAAAAGCCTTGAAATATACAGACATTTTCGTCGTGTCCACATCCTTCAACTCCACATGAATGAGCTGTCCCCGCATCCAAGCATGTAACGCGGTCAGTTCGGTAACACGTCTATCAGATCGTTTAGCCAACTGTAACAAAGCAGGATTGATAGGCCCGTCCCGAAGAACGCGGAAATTTCCATTAGAGTCAAACCACAACTCGCCCCGTTCCTTCAAGCGCTGAAGCAAACTTTCATGGTGACAACCTAGTTTTTTAAGTTCGTAAATGTAAACTTTCACATTGTTATAATCCTTTAAATCTTTCAACCTATGTTGGAAGACACCTTTAGTTCGAACAAAGGTAGTCAGAAGATGCTCCATATTTTTTTGTGTTCTCTCCTCTCACCACGGATCCTTCAGAGGATCGAAAAGGAACTGAAATACCAAACCCCTCAACTCATCAGGGATGATAGAAGGTAAAGGGTACCAAACGTCAAAATATCCTAAAACCTCCGCAGTCTCCTCTGTGTCCGGTCGGACGACCGCCACAGACATCGCAGTTGAACGACGTTGAAATATAGACCAAGGAACAAGTCCACTAAAGTAAGAGTTTGTAGGAAACGTTGAAGCAACATCTTTTTTATAAGCTTACGACTAATCATCTAGAATGATAGGATCATCACGACACCCGGTGTGGAATGTAACAGCAACAGTCTTGACCTCCATCGTATCGGCTCTGCAATAAGGACATGCCCCGTTGTTAGCCAACAAACGATCGCATTGGTCAGAACACGCAACACAGAGGACATGGTGACATGCCAAAACAACCACTTTAGCCCCCTCGTTGAATTCTCCTCGGCAAACACAACAAATCGCGTCTTTCATGGTAACAACATCCATGTTGAGAAAAAATAATGAGCAAAAAATAATGAGCAAAAAACCATCAACGAGTGAAACTCGGCAGCATTTTTCAATCGGTAAGTAACACGAACCCTATTTAACGCAAGTGTTTGAGGAAGTAACACGAACCCTATATTATAACAAAAGTGTTTGAGGAAGTAACACGAACCCTATATAACATAACACGAACACGTAAACCAAGTTCCCCGGTTAGCAAGGTAACGTGAACCAAGCAGTTTTCATTTAACGCTACTGTTCCCCGGTTAGCCTGTTAAACTAACACCTAACACGGTAACGTGAACCAAGCAGTTTTCATTTAACGCAACCGTAATTATAGTCACAAAAAACTTAGCTACAAAAATGAAATGCAATCCTAACAAATCCCGCCAGTGCGGTTCCAGATGTGTATTGTGGCTACGTAACTGTAACGTTGAAGGGTTCGAATCAAATGCAGACCCATGTAAATACAATGCAACCTGTGCAAGAACGAATGGTCCGAAAGGACCGAGAAAGGAACCCAAATGCCAACCCATTAAATCCAGACGGTGTGGGAGAGCGTGTTTAAGCTGGAAGAAGAATTGCCGCAAACCCGGGTATGAATCGTCAGCCAGACAGACAGGCGCAGACTGTCTAAGACCTGCGAGACAGCAAACAAATAACGACAACGGTGTGTCGGCTGCTACAGAATTAAGTAATTTGAAGAGGAGATGGATCAACCCTCAAAATGGTGAATTAAAACCAGGATCGCCTTATACTCAAACCCAATGGAACGCGAAAGTAAGAACGCTGCAACAGAGGATGACACCAGATGAACCAGTGAGTTCGACAGGTGCCATCTAAGTCATAGAAAGTCATAGTAAAGTGGTGTTAACAATCTAGTTAGGTTAAGGTCGTAGTTGCCAACCCAATGCCTGGATGGCGAGAGCCCGTAATTCACGGTATAGGGTGCGGGTGTTACTCTTGAGTAGTTTACGTTTGCGTCCTTTAGAGTATAGGATATCAAGGGCCGTCCCCACCGTCAGATCCTCAATGTCGCAATATTCAGCTAAGTCGTTGAAGTGTTCAATGGCTTGATTGCTATTGGAGTCGACGGTAAGTAAGAAGAAACCTCTGATCCTCTTTTGCTCACTCACGTAGACCGCCCCCAGAACGGCAGGTTTCGTCAAGATAGATCTCATTGTCTTGATGTCATCATTTTCGGGGTTGTGAAGGGTGAAGAACCCATGACCAAGGCTGGTATCGTTGGGAACCTCCATGTCTCTGAAATAGTGAGCCGTTTCTATACGTAACCGTGTCAAATTTCACCGGTACCCATGTTGAAGTGATAACGCGACCTCCCAAGATCGCGAAGATCGCTAGCATCTAGATCGTCACCGTCTCACTGGTATAAGCATCTAGATCGTCACCGTCTCACTGGTATAAGCATCTAACGGCTAACTGTCCACACCGTTAGACGGTTAGAGCGCACACCGAGACCCAATCCAGAGTCGCCCCTCCAGACCCTCCAGACCATCGGACTCTAGCAAAAGAGAGGTGATAATCTGTACCGTACTGTAGATGGGGTAATACATGGGTAGCTTTAACCCTTCACTACTTCAGTTTTGTTTTTTCGTCTTGTGAGCTTGTTCGTTTCCCTTGCCTCGTTACCGGTACCAGTGCCATGAGTAGAAGCAAATACTGTCAATCCAGCCAGATAGCCAACAGTGTTGATTGCAGCCAACATGTTTGACAATCCAGGCAGCTGTAGCTACAGCAGTGAGGGTTGATTGTATGCAACCAACATTTTTACTGTATTCAGGTCGGTTGGTGCACCAAATATTGCCGCCGAGGTGCCGACCCTCGAGGTGCGGTTTTCCTACACCGAGGTGCAGACCATAGAAGTGCGTTTTTCTGCCACCGAGGTGCGGACCCTGCACCTCTTGCGGACACTAGAGGTGCACAGCCTCTGCCGCCGAGGTGCAGACCCTGCAGGGTGCGGATTTTCTGCGGTCAAGCTGGGACTGTAGAGGTGCAGAGATTTTTGCCGTGGACCCTAATAATAGAGGTACCAGGTACAGAGGTATATCCGCCGAGGTGCGAACCTGCAGAGGTGCAGAGGTTTGCCGCGAGGTGCGGATCTTCTGCACCAAGGTGTGGGTCGTATTAATATAGCCATGTTTACCCGTTTCGGCTGGCTTAAATGAGGAAACCTTCAGTTAACCCTTTCCTCCACGATTCAAATCTTTTCTTTTCTTTTCACCCACCCAAATCCACTCCTCACTTTTCCGTACTAGTTAGTCGCCACAGCAAACACAAACATCAATCATCACCATGGTCCAAGTAATTGTCCGTCCTCATCCTGATTCCCAGCACTTGCTCCTCGACAAAGATAGTTTGGACAAGAAGCATGCCGTAGTTTCAATTCTCCACAGCAAGCCACGTTCTTACGAAGTCACGCAAGCCTTGACGCCTCAGTCTTCGCAAAGCCAAGTGTTCACCAATGCGTTGGAACCTTTGTTGAATCAGTGGCTTACCAAAGGCGACCATGGAGCGCTCTTTGCATATGGCTTTACTGGTACAGGCAAATCCTATAGTCTCTTTGGGATACCCGAGAATCCAGGCGGTATTTGGTTGTCGGCGCAGTACTTGTTGGAGAATCTGCCAACCGGATCGAAACTTCGTTGTTCCATGTGCGAAATCGATGGAAAGTCCGTCAAGGATTTGCTGGTATTGGACGAAACCATCAATGGTCAATTGACGGTCCGTGTCGATGAACAAGGTTCTGTCCACTTGCGCAAAGCCGATGGCAGTGGACCACTCCGACGTGTTGTCTTGGAGACGGCGCAAGAATTTCAGGTCCTTTGGGAACAGGCCCAAAAATCCCGCCGTGTGGGATCGTCCACCGTTCACGATGCCAGTTCCAGGACTCATGCGGTAGTGGACTTTGAGATTGTCAACGATCGCATCGTCGAGCTGGAGGAAGCGGTCGAAGAAAAGCATGCTGCGTACATTGCGATTAGCAATCAAAAGGATGACGCCTTGAAGGAACGGATTGAAGAGGCGTACAAGCGAGATGGGCCCAATGCCATGGTCGACGGGCGTCCTCTGGCGGAACTGCTACAAGAGCACGGAAAACCCCATGAAGAGTCTCTGTTGGCTCTGGATGAAGCGCGCCGTATGTTGGGTGAATACAAGGAAACCGCTGGAATTGCTGCCTTTTTGGGAAGCTTCTCCATGATTGACATGGCAGGAAATGATTGGGAGCAGGCTACCACTATGCAGACTGCGCAAGCGAAGAAGGAACACTCGGACATTAATGCATCTCTGTTGGCAGTCAAGGAATGCTTCCGGGCCATGCAGCAAGGGAAGCGACACATTCCCTTTCGTCGATCCTGTTTGACCCAGATCTTGAAACGATACTTTAGTTCAGCCAATTCCAATTGTGTCATGCTGACAACTATCTATCCGCAAGAGGAAGAAGTGACACTCAAGCAGACCATGAACACGTTGCTATATGCTTCCTCCATTGCCAAGATGCGAACGTAGAATGTGTAAGCAAAGCCTCAATAAAGAAGCAATAGACGTGGAAGCCGGCAGGAACGAGATGGATGTAATACAGCATACCGGTAATTGTACCGTACACCAACAGTGGATATTGGTACAGACTTGAAGCTACAAACCTTTTTAAAAGTATAGATAATTGTTGTGTTACCAGTGCCTTGCGAAAGCAGAGACTCTACTACCGGTGAGGCCATGGGTATACCAAACAATACGATGTGGCTGCTGAGATACCGTACGGTAGGTTATTTCACAGACGCTTGCCCTCGAAAGAAAACCAATGGAAGCTAGATAGTATGTTTCCAGTGCTTACCTACTGTACTTGGGAAGTCAAGGGACGCTAATTTGGTCAGTTGCTTCCTTGGTAAGTTGTGTAGGCGGCAAGTTTGGCAGGCAGCCGTTACAGTAGACAGTCTCCAATGGAAGGGATTGAAGATTCCTGTTGAGCTCGAGGCATCGTGGTCGCACTTCTAGCTAGAGCTACAAGGTGTCGACTTGTGTGAAGCATCCCAAGCAAGGACACAACGGTGTGGCGTCCCAGCATTGTTTTCCCCTTGCTGCCACGGTTCCATTTTTGAGAACCGACGTGAGGAGGAAGAAACGCACCAAAAATCGCCAACCAGGGAATGGCTGGCTTGCACGCTTTTCCGCACTCGCCTCCAACACCGTTGCCAATTGCCAACGATGGCATCTCACCCATTGGAGCGGCGCTTGGCGGCAGTGGAAGCCAAACTTGACATTGGGAATCATCATCCTTTGGCAATGCAAATGTACAATGGAAAGATCCATCGACCATTCTATCGGCGAAGAGCTTCCAAACGATGCAGTTTGCTACTAATCAGTGTTGGCGCTTTGGCCTTGATGCTCAACTTCTGGGGTCAACTCTTCAGCTCGAAACGCCGAGGGTTGATTGTAGCCGATGATGGAATGCAGCCCCCTAATCTGCTACAATTCACCAAGTCTCCCCCAGAATACAATAAGGTACATCGCAATACCACCTTTGTCGATGCAGAATCAACAACCGCCGCCTACTCGGACGGAGAAAAGAGATCCTCTGGCGCCTGTCTTATTACAATGGATGACAATCATTGGATTCCTGAATGGCTGGCCTATCACTACCACACTATGAATCTTCGCTATTTAGTAATCGTCGTGGATCCATTGAGTGTGACATCACCATCGCGAATCTTGCAACGATGGGAAAACCATATTAACATTGAGCAGTGGACTGATGTAGATATATTTCGAGGCATGAACCAAACCACGACGGATCCTGGAACGCCAGGGTCAGCCCGTTACGATCACCACAAGGAACGACAACTGATTTTTTATCAAAAGTGTTTGCAAAATTTCCAAAAGAGGGGTTTGGTCGATTGGGTGCTTCCTACGGATATAGACGAGTATATAGGTTTGGTGCCGCGAACGTCCAAGGCGGCGGGTCGCAATGCCAACTATCTTGTGCCAAGCCTGTATGAGCCTGGGAGCATCCTCACGTTTTTGAACGATGTCCATAAAACCAACAAAGCCAAGTATGCTCGTTTACCCTACCATCCAGGCTGTGTGCCCGTGCCAAGACGACAATATGGCACAGTCAAGAGCACACGTCAGCAGGTGCAACAGTTCATCCCGGAACTCTTCAAAGGAGAAAACTTTTTGACTCTACGATGGCGTCACTGGAACAATAAAAAGTCCATGACAATCAAAGTACTGGTGGACGTGTCTCGGGCAAACCTCCACAATTTCCAATATGGAAGCGGCCATGGGCTGTCGGTGCACAATCCACTTCCAGAGTGTCTAGATGCGCAAGAGATGCCCTTTGACATGTCCGACCTGGTGGTCTCTCACTATTTGGGGACTCCAGATCAGTTCTTCTTTCGCACTGATAGTCGTCGCGGCAGCTACGCATCCGGGATGAAGAACCAGGACGGTTACGACAATGCTGCAAAGTCGGATGGTCGTGAAGATGATAGCCATCGGTTGTGGTTCCCCGGCTTTTGCAAGAGTGTGGGACTGACGGAAGCGAAACGCCTATTGCTGGATGCGGGTCAGATAAGCCCCGCGTCACTAATGACGGCAGAAGGCCAAGCTATAGCCAGCAAGGCTTGGAATGCAGACTTTTAAGTTATGTTTCATGGCAACAACCAGGCAGGCAGAAGCAAGGGGGTACGCGCCAAGTGGACCGAAAGGGGAGATTGTACGAGCAGGAGCGTAGATACGATGACATCTCAGTAAATTCTTCTGACTGGGGGTACCTACAATGGGCTAGAAGGATGGCGTTGAAAGCTCTCACCCTCAATGACTCTATGCATAGAGGCAGCAGGCAGGTTCCAAGAAAGGAGGCCTTTAAGGTTGGAGCTGAGCTGATAGCTAGCATACGGTAGGGTTAGTAGATGGCTACATGGACAGTCGACAAGCTCCAAGCGTTTGGGTTTGCTACTGGGCTGCGCACAAGGTACTGTACCTGGTAACCCAATAAAATAGGCGTACTAGTAGGCTCCAAGAATGGAGGCAATATCTTCAGGCTGGAGCTGATGTGAGCTGATAGCCACCTGACGCCACCAAGTCCCAGGCTTTTTCTAAAGGTTTGCTGGGTTGAAACATTTATTTATTTATTTGCCTTCAATCTTCAAGACAGGGGGTAGACAGCACTACATACAGCTCGTTCATCTGCACAGGATTTTCAGAGAGCAAGCCTGCAGCTAAATCCAGGCATGTCAGGCGACGTGATTCCTGTGCAATTGAACAGGCGCCTGTGCAATTGAACAGGACGTTGGAATCCTGTTCAATTGCACAGGAATTGCGTCGCCTGTTCAATTGCACAGGAAATAGACAGCCTAGCCTGTTCAATTGCACGGGAAATAGACAGCCCAGCCTGTTCATATGCACAGGCTCCTGTACAAGCATACAGAATTTGATACTTCAATTTTTTCTCGAAGTCCAAAGTCAAGTTACACCATTAGGTAAATGTACTATCATTCAAAACTTACATAAGGAGTGCTAAAGCACAGTGAAGTACAGGGAACACTCCCTTCTAAAGGTTGGCACCGTAGCTAGACCTTGTACTCATAGAGGGAGACGTGCAAATTCGTTTTTAGCAACAGCAACAGCAGCAAGCAAGGACAACTACTACCATATCCATCCGTCTCTTGCATTTATTTGTGGCTGCTTGCAACTTTGGTGTTTGTCATTCTTTTCCCCTCCCAGTGACCCATTTCCTGTACTATTGAACAGGCACCTGTCTCCTGTGCAAACGAACAGGCTTCTGTACCAACAAACAGGAACCTTCATGTGCTATCGAACAGGCAACATCATGTGCTTCTGTACACGCTGATCCTGACTTGACTGGGTTGAAACATTTATTTGCCTTCAATCTTCAGTGTGGCCCCTTGCCTGTTGGCTTTTGGCTTGAAAGAAGATCACTGCTGTTCCTCAAAAGGAAGGGGGCAAAGTGATGTAAATACATCTTTGCTCAATAATGGTTAAAACGATGTCTCTGTTAATTGTTCTTTCCCACATCAATGTCCTTGAATCTTGCCTCATCCATGACTGTACGAGCTCTGTACGGTACAATTATTACATTAAATTAGCTTCTTTCCCAAGGATCTTTTCAAGTTTCCCTGCCGGTACCATACCACAAGTAGATAGACTTAGTCCTTATTAATAAGATAACTCAATTCTGAGTCTCTCTAGTACTGTACTCCAAGAATCATATTAAAAAAAGGATTTTGCAACGGCCACACTGAGTCAAGTCATTATCTTACAAGCTTTCATATCGCATATCCACTAGCAGCTATTGTCACATACCCTACTAATAACATGCCCTCAGATAGTGATGAGCCACCAGCAAAGCCCAGGAGGCAGGGTGACCACAAGATGGGAATACGGAGAACTTGGAAGCGGATGGTGATGTGGAAGATACGGTACGGTTGTATCTTGGGTATACGGTAAAGGTAGTGGGTACTAGTACTAGCTAGCTTCCCTCACTCCCTGCATTAGAGGTACCCGTAGTATTAGGGAAGGATTTGAGATGCGTCTCTTGAAACTATTTATCTTAAGTGCAAGTGAGCAATATTCCAATAGCTACCGGTACTGGTACCACTCCGATTGGTTATGTTAAGTTCCGGTAGATAGTCTACTAGGTAAAGTAGGCTTCCATCGTGATTAAATAAATCTGCTTCTTTCCATTCAAGCTGAAACAGTTGCTGAAACGCTGAAACACAGATTAATTAATTTTATTAAAAGGTGAGCACCGGAGAGGTGCTCGTTCGAGATTGCTCCCGATCCTGGGCAGAGGGAAAACGGCCCTTTTAATTAATGTGGTTGCTCCAATAGCTAATGACGGCTATTGATAGTCTACAGAGGTCAAAACTTGTCCAAGTTTATAAGGAGGAATTGGCTTGGTTCTTTTCTTGACCACGGCTGACCACGATTGACCACGCCTGACCACGCATGACCACGATTAACCACACTTGATCACAATTAACTATTAAAAGACCACGCTTGACCACGGCTGACCACACTTGACTACGAGTGACCACGGATGGTCAAGTGTGGCAAAAGTGACAGTTTAGCTTCAAAGTTGGACTTGTTTGGTCAAAGATGGTCATAACATGTCCAATGCGGTCTTGGTTTGAGGGACCACGGTCTCTTTTCCCCTACACTCTTCCCTGCTCCCTACTTCAAAGGGTAAAGCAGGATTTACGGCTGAATTACAGAAAAGCCAGCCAGGGTTTTAGAACATCACGCTTTTGGGTACAAGTAGCTACATGTAGTAGCTAGCTAGTACAAAAGGTTCTTCGTGTCACTGGTACGGAGCTTTATCGCCCGAGCACTCGCTTTGTGAAGGCATTATTAATGTCTACATGTACCGGTGTCCAAAGCGGAAGTGGTTACAAATTGGCAGCGTCCGTCGACCAAGCTAAGGCACCATTATCGGTTTGCAGTCTTGTGTCTTGTGGATGGTTTACTCCTCTCATTATTTCTTCAGAGCAACGTCCAAAATATCCACCTGCAGCCATACAAAAATGTCCTCCTCTGTGCTTTACGTTCCGGACGATGAGGAAGATCAATCCTATGTGAGTGCCAACTCGGCAGCCCTACGCAACGACCAACTCCGTCGCCGCACTGAAGCGGTTGCGAACTTGGCGGCGAACCGTGAGACGAAGATGGTCTTTTCGTTGAAGATTCTGGTCATGCTCTTGCTGCTGGCTTCCACGGCCATGGCTTCTGCTGGCGTTTACCGATATTCGACCAATGATCAGACCATGGAATTTGAGCGCGACTTTGAATCGTACAGTGCCAAAATGACCGAAAATTTTCGTCTCGCTGTGGACCGAAAGCTTGGGGCCATTGCCTCCATGGCCAATGCGATGACTACATACGCCCAAGATACAAATGCTACGTTTCCGTTTGTGACCTTGAGCAACTTTCCGGTACGAGCTTGTGATTTGAGGGTGCTAGCCGAGGCGCTCATGATCATCTGGACCCCACTGATCAATGACACCAATCGATTGGAATGGGAAGAGTGGGCCTTTATGAACCGGTACCAGCAAAACAGGGCGTTTGAACAAGAAGCCAAACTGAGGCAAAGACAAGACGCTGCCTTTGCTGCCAAGGCACAGCAGCAGCAGCAAGCCATGACAAGTGATACTGGCGAACGATTCCTCCAGCAGCAGCCTCCGCCCAAAGACTCCAACATGCTGCAAGATGAATCGGACTATCACTTGAGAATCTACAAGGGTGGACCCTGGAACAACAGTGCGGAAGCCGATGGTTCCGGCCACTACCTACCTGTGTGGCAACGAAGTCCGGCCGTGACTCCCAACCAAAAGTTGCTCAACTTCAACTTTGCAACTTCGAATGTCTTTTCGGATGTCCTCCCAGTTATTCTAGATGATCCAAAAGTTGTCATTAACAAAGCCGAAGTTGTTCCGCCCCAGTTTCAGCAAACAATGACGTACACCTTGAGAGGAAGTCAATATCGCAATGACGTGGATGAGTACCTCTTGGATCCTCTGTCTTTCATGGCCTATCCGGTCTTTGATTCGCTGGATGTTGACAACCGAAAACTCGCGGGCCTCCTCATCTCCAACCTCTATTGGCGCATGTACTTTTTGAACACGTTGCCACCATCGGCCAAGGGAATCGTCTGTGTGCTGAGCAACTCCTTCAACCAGACGCTCAGCTACCGAGTCGACGGCCCCGATGTGGAGTTCCTGGGAGAGGACGATTTCCATGACCCCAAGTATTCAAACATGGTAGTGACGGAAGATATTACTTCCTTTGTCAAGGATCAGACCAGCATCGAAACAAGAGCATACATGACTGTCCCGTTGCATGATACATTTGGTCTATACACACTCAAGATATATCCAAGTGCCGAGACTGAAGCTGTTTACCGGTCCAATGAACCCATCTTCTACATGATCCTCGTTGGTTCTGTGTTTTTGTTGACGGCATTTGTGTTCATCGCTTTTGACTTTTGGGTCGAGCGAAGGCAAAAGATTGTCGTCGAGCAAGCCGCCGTCTCGGGAGCAATCGTCAACAGTCTGTTCCCCGAAACGGTGCAAGATCGCCTGTACGAAGATGAAGCCAAATCCAAAAAGGAAGGAACAGGTGCCTGGAAACATCAAGAGGGCAACGTAGAAGGTCTTGAAGCACTCAGCGAAGGTCAGCACAGCATGAACAATCAGAGTCGTTTGGGAAACCAGATTGCAGACTTGTATCCTGATGCGACCATCATGTTTGCGGACTTGAAAGGTAGGGGACGGCAGCGCTTGCGAGCAATCCCTTGCTGGGTATATTTCTTCTCTCTGACATGTCCCCCACTTCTGTGTTTGCCTTGTACCTAGGCTTCACTAGTTGGTCGTCCTCCCGCAGTCCCAGCGAAGTCTTTTGCCTCTTGGAATCTCTGGTACGCGACCCTGCTGTGTCATGGTGGAACAAGTTGCCTCATGGAACAGAGTCTCACTTTCGCGTCGATTGCTCCTAATCCAGTACAATGCTTTCGATGCCATCGCCCTGCAACGTGGTGTCTTCAAAGTAGAGACTGTAAGCCAAGGAGTGCAACTCGATTGTGTGCTCGATCATGTTGTTGGTAACTGTCTCACTTTGTCTTTGCTGCATGGAAAACAGATTGGAGATTGGTGAGGACACAGATTGCCCAACTGCTATGAAGGATGCTCGACTGTTTTAAGCCTCACCCTTGCTCTCTCCTGCTCTGGAATCTGGAACCCCGTCAGCTATCTTGCAGGTAAGTGATCACGGCAATTGCGCGTCACGGCCGTCATCACAACGACACAGTATCCTGGCAGTACGGCGCTCACATATCGCTTTCCTTTCCAGTTTGCGGCTTGCCACAGCCCAACCCTGATCACAGCACGATAATGGTGAAGTTCGCTGGTTCTTGTCTATCCAAGATGAACGAACTCGTCAAAAAGCTCGGTGAGCAGCTTGGTGCAGAAACGGAAAAGCTGCAGGTATGTCGCATTTGGTACTCGTCGGATCTTGGGAGCCTTGGATGCTTTTCCTCTGATATCTGATCCTTCGTCGGCTTGTCGTGTCATGCCATAGCTTCGTGTGGGTCTCCACAGTGGACCAGTAACGGCGGGAGTACTCAGGGGACAGAAGTCTAGGTTTCAGGTGAGAGCTCTATGTTTCCCTACGTGAGACTTGTCAGTCGTTTAGTTGGTCTCATGTGCGGCCGTTCCATTTTGTAGCTGTTTGGTGACTCTGTAAATGTCGCTTCGAGGATGGAATCGACTGGTCAAGGAGGGCGCATTCAAGTTTCTGAGGACACCGCAGAGCAACTACGAGCCCGAGGGCACGGAGACTGGTTGAAAGCCAGGAGAGATCCAGTGGAGGCAAAGGTACGAAATTCTCTCGAAAGAGCATCGCAGTCCGGGCCACAAGCAAAACCAGCTCAGACTCTGTGCCGTTTTTGTTCTTGTTCGCACCCAGGGCAAAGGGACATTGTCGACCTATTGGATTGTGTTTGCCGGTGCGGGAACTCGTGCAAGTACATGTATCTCCGAAGGACACCACAGCAGACTCGATTTTTCTTGTAGGCTTCAGAGTGAAGAGTCGAGCGAACCAAGCTCGGATTCCACTGGTGATAGAGAGGTCTATGATGCGGAGCTTCCCTGCTAGAAGGCTCAATGTACCGTGCTATCCATGGTGTACGTTTGTCGGGTGCGTTATTTGGTAAAGCTTTTGTTTGAAGTCGAGCGCTGCCGGAGTTGATTTGCCGAGGCAAGCAGTAGTCACGAAGAGCCGATCAACCCGCACTATCCGACTGGAAGTGGAAAGGCATCTGTGACTCTACATTTTAATATATATATTTCACCACTTCATGTTCAAGCTCTCATTAGCCCATGTGTCCAAAGAAAGACGAGCGAAACCTTTGCGTTCTGCGTCGATAGTTTCCCTGTTAATAAGGAGGAGGCGCCATCGTGCGTTGGGTGGAGAGGGTCTACGTATTTCGCTGCATACCACGCCACTTAATTCTCGAAGGTTGGTTAAGTAAATTAGTCATTTTGGACAATCAATACAGTACTAAGTGGGTTAAAAATGTTTTTCAACAAATTTACACTCAATAAAGCACGGTCCCAATCAAAACCAACTTTAATCTCGTACTTTACTTTTTTTTTTGCCAGATCCAGACCAGATCCGCCAGACCGTGCCAGACCCACGAGCAGATCCACGATGCAAGCATACACACCTCCCGTTAAACGCCCTCTGAAATTCACCCGTGCCAAACTTCAACTCAAACCCAGCAAGATACTACTCCGACTACAGTACCGCTCGGCATCAAGTAATTTTAGCAGTCAGTCCAAGCATGTTGTCGTCCATTAGACGCTGCCAAACGGAGGACATGACACGGACTTAGCTGTATTGAAGCATTCTTCATTTTGTGGATTGATTCGACTATCTTGTTGAACAACCCTCCAACGATCGATCAGTTCGTATCGGGGGCTGATGCTTTCAATCCTCTCGTGCGGTTGTCATCACAGTAAACAACTAACCGACCCGTCTCTCTTATCCCAACATGCCAGCATCAGATGAAGACGAAGATGAGGCGCTCTTCACCGTCCACGCCCTAACCTGCCTCTTTACTTCATCAGCCGATAGACAGAAGAAAGCCTCAATTATTTCAACCGCTTTCTCCAAGGATACTGCCCCCAAATTGGAATTGATGTCATTGTCGATGGCACCACCATTCCCTATCGCGGTATTCCCCGCAAGTTCTCCAACAAAGCTATCGCTGAATTCTGGGACAAACTGTTTGGAAATTTCATCTATTTCATGGGCAATAAAACGAAGCTCGCAGCAAGCACCTCTGAACAATACTGCTCCGGAGTCAAAACCTACTTTGTCGGCAAGTTCAGAACCGAGACCCCAATCCCTACTTTTCAACAAGGCCTTTGGAAGCAATTTTTACAGAAGCTCAGAGCGTTCTACCGTGAATCCAACTGTGCTACCGGCAAACGAACAGAAGAGAAGGCGACCAGCACGCGACGAGACCGGGAAGCCTTGGCAACTGCATGCATCTGGCTGAAAACACCACAATACGCCGAGTTCTGGCATCTCTTAAACGCCAGTTATCACTGCTGCGGACGCGGTAGTGAAGTCTCCCTAATAAAAGCAAGAGACACACAGACCACTGATGTGAATGAACTAACCTACAACTATGAAGTCATTACAACCTACTGCCAACGTCAAAAGGACAATGAACCGCAAAACCTCCCAATCTACCCTCACAGAGATGGAATTCTCCAGGATTTCTACTCCTCTCTTCTTCATCTACTCGTATTGAATGGCTGCAACAATGAGTACACCTTTCCAATCTTCTCCAAAGCCGCGCTGAAGACGAAAGGAGGCAAATCCGACAGTGGTGTCTCCAAAGCATGGACCCACCTCTTCGAACGACTCCGAGAAACCTTCGAGATCCTTGCCGATGAAATCAACGAAGAACTGTCTTCGCACTCCAACCGGAAAGGCTCCAACCAGGACATGGCAGAATGCCTCTCCTTGAACGGTATGGCCGGAATATTTCGAACTGGTTGGTCGGTAGGTGGCCGCAGCTTTCATTCCGTGTTTGATTACATCAATGGGTTTTTTCATCGAAGAATGTCCAACAAAAACCACCAGGCCGGTAAAGCCCTAGCCAACTGGACAACCAAGATTGGTGAAACGATTGTCGGCGGCCAACCACCAACCTTTGATGACATTGAAACAGATGTCGACACGCTGAAAAAATTCACCAATGTGCTGTTTGAAGACGATGTAAAGAAACTCTGGAACCCCCAAGTTTGAGAACTACTGGTCATGACCCTGCTACTGCGCTACAACGAGTTCTGTGAGATCCTTGAATGTCATCCGCTTGCAAAACTTGTCGAAGACGACGTATCCCAGGGATTCACCAGCTCGACTGTTCGAGACAATCCTTTTCTCTGCCGCATCCATCAAGTACTGGTGAAAGTTGATGCCGAAGACTTCCTAGATGCCTGGACCACCGAAGCCCGGAAAGCCTTCCTAGCCCGCAACATGCCCGCCCTCCGATCCGAGAACTTTCCTCCCTTAGGTACGGTAAGACGCTGAATTGGAAAACCAATCGCCTGCATAGACCCCCTCTCAGGTAGCCCCAACTGAAGACTCCCCACAGCCCAAATTAACCAAAGGAACATTTTTCTCTTAAGGGACCAGCGAGATCCACTTCCGTGTGCGAATAAGTTGCTTGCAGGCAATCATCTGTGTATCATGTTGTTGATTTCCTTCAAATGCTCATCTTTGTCCTTTTCCTCCAATTTCACCTGTTTACCTTCCAAACAACCATTGCCCTTTCTCTGCGGGTCTTGCCCCATTTCTCATTGCGCTTGTTGGGTAGGGTCTGGTTCACGGCAGATCTTGGAGGAAAGGGCATCCAAATGAAGGGGGCAGTAACCGGTATCACACAACTGCCAGGGCAACAAGACACATCCTAGGGCACAAACTATCAAAACTCCAGCTCACTGGGTGACAGAGGGCTCACTGAGTTGTGCTTCTGTTCGCGTCCCATTTTAACGAATTCGATCCCCATGACCAAACCTGCTAATACAATAGAAGCTGTCGAACAGAGTTCAGTAGTATGGACCGGACCTCGAACACTGCAACGACGTAAACCCGGACCAGTCGCATAAGAACGCACTTGGACGCACGCAAAGAATACATCTGGAAAGTACCTATTTCTTATCGCTATGCAGTTGGATAGTCAAACCTACGTGACCAACCTGGAACGTAACCGGTAGCCAGACATATAGACTACCCTTAAGTAGTACTCCAAGCTTAGTGATTGTGCTATGATGAAAGAAAAGGAAAAAGAACCTCAATAGGAGAAGCCCACGGTCACAAATTTAAAAATGACCATTGCGCCAATTTTTCTGAAGTCTTAGAGCGCGAGACTCAGTCTCAGCGCATCCACAGGACGACTATAGGTTACCTATTTTGGAAATACTTCGAACACAAAGAAACAAATAGTCGCGTAATTCACTAGAAAATGAGTTCTCCGAGAGCATACACAATAATTTCAAAACAAAGACCAAGCAACACCGCGTCGAAACACGGAAAAAACGAAAAGCACTCACAAGCATTCGATACCGGGGCGCGAGACAGAACAGAATGAGAATGATTGGCTTGACCAAACCCAACGAGTCCACCCTGACTGTGTATCGGCTGTTGGGTCGTTTCTGTGGCATTGCAGTGTTGGGTTGTTGGATGTGGTGGCTGTTGGGACGAAAGGATGTCATCCTTCTCGTTTGGGCCTTCACCGCGGTGTGCTCTATTTGCTCTCTCATCATGCTGTATGCTAGAAGGTCGGTGTCGCCCGGAAATAACCCTGGTTATGTAATCTGTCTGTAGGAGGGGAGCCGGGGAGGGGGAGAGACCACTACAAAATAGCAACAAAAATTTGAGCGTCCTCCCACATGAATGATTGGTCACGAGTCGGTTCACAGCCTACAAATAGACGGGGATCTGTGCGTTGTCGGCGGATTATCTCTCGACATAGAGACCCATTGCAGGTGGTTCTACGTTCCGGGATGGAACTGGGAACCATTTGAGCACCTTGCGAGGCCGGCGCTGCACTGTCCACAAAATGGAGGAGAGTACTTCTACACCCCGAGGACGAAATTCATCCACGAGGCGCCACATGACATG